GCGTGGGTCGCCGTGCCCGCTGAGCGCGTGTTCTGTCTGCACTGCAACAACATCGTGTGTTCTGTGTTCTGTCTGCTGACCCCCCCCTTAAATACCAAGTAATGTACTGCTGTACTCTCAAACCTAGTTCAAGCGAACACACGCACAAACTATTTTTTTCTGCATGGAGCCTATTATTGCGGTGAGACCTCAGGCGAGATTAGAAATCTCGCTTCGCTCGAATAATATGTAGAGCTCTCTCTCCAGTAAAGGTGCTGTAGATACATTGTAGAGGAGGTACAGCAGCAGTAGTTTACCGTATATGACACAGGATAACACACCCGCTGGACCGATTTCCAAAGCTCGATTACTCCACGACGAAGAGACACAAACGAAACGATACATTTTCGAAACGCTTTCGACGAGACGGTTTCAACGCCTCCATTTTCGGCGCTGTGGCTGTTCCTGCAGTAGAGAAATCGAGCTTCGAAAATTGGTCAAGGTGTGTTATCTTGTGTCATATACGGTAGTCTGGTAGCAAAGAAGTGAACAAAATAATAATAAAAAGTGAAAACCAGGTTTTGCAACAACTACTGGCAGCAGGGAACAAGCTACATACAATGCAGTAGCAGATGCGTAATGCAGTAGCAGATGGAACCGCTACTCACCCCATGGTGCCAAACAAAGTCGACGAGAGCGCACTCAGATTCAGATGGTCGATAAATCGTTCATCGATATATTTCATCATCTGTCTGCAGAATGAATAAGTGATGACATTCATTCATTAGATTGTAATATGCAAGAGACAGACAACAGGTGGTTGCTCCCTCGCGTTCTATCATCTATTATTGATAAAATCACCGAAGAATCTCTCGCGCTCGATATGCTATGCAATGCGACATCTACTTAGCTTGTTTTTGTTTCTCACATAATAAGCTCTTCTAAGTCCACAAAAATGGGGAGCCCGTGGTCTCAAAACCTGGCACATTGTCATTCGACGCCGCGGGGAAAGAAAACAAAACAATAGAAAGAAAAGAACAGCTACTGCACCGACCGTTCGAGAAAGAGCCCTCGCAAACCGATCAAAATAATACAAAACGAAAATTAAAGGAGTACGCTTCCCGCACCCGCCAAATATAGCAAAAATCAAAGGGTAACGTACCAGCACCACCAGGCACTACGCACCAGGGCATGAGAGTAACGGAGCAACGGAGCAAACAGGACAAACAGGCGGCAGATGGGCAGACAGCCAAATGTACAAAAAACAAAGCAACAGCAAAAGCGAGATAAGGTACACCGCAGAGTAGTCTAGGCAGGGAGGACCTTATATGGAGGTAGGTGTGTGTGTAAAGATAGTTGGACGAAGTGTAGACTAGTGGACTATCGCAGAGCAGCAGCAGCAGCAGCAGCAGCAGCAGCAGCAGCAGCAGTAGGACGACGACTGTTGTAGTTGGTAGGTGCGTACGTATCTACCCTGATCAGAATTGATTGCGGTATATTCACGTGACCCCGGTTGGGCCGTCTGGCTGGTAGAAGTGGAGGATAGAGGCCAGATACGCAGATGACACAGAGTCCAATGATGGGAGAAAAAAAAAAAAGTACACATGAAAAAACATTCAAGCACATAGGCCTAGTAATAAAAAATCGGGGTCATTTGGGGGGGGGGGGCGTACTCTTATGTTTTGCATGCCTTAGCGGGTAGACCATTGACCACGCGTCCTCGAGAGGACGGAGCATTTTCCCCACAGGACCGATCTGACGGCCAATCGTTCCTTTCTACTTTGCCAAGGGTGGGTCAAACATGTCTTCCCTAGTCTGTCTATCCTAACGATATCTCTTCCCTCCTTTTCAACCCACCTCCTATGCCCCAGTACAGCTACCGTCCTTTCCTCTCTATTCCATGCCTCAAATATCTCCCTGTACGTCCTATCTATTTTTCCCAGCTCAGTCACCTACACTTCCCTCGCCTCCTTGTACAACGGACATTCCGCGACTACATGAACACGGTCTTCGCATTCGAAGCCGCAATCACATTTGAACTCGTCGTCGTCCTCGTCTACCGTCCTATGTCTTCGTCGACGTTCTCGAAGGCCTATAATATCCCCGGTCCTGAATTTGACCTTAAGCTTTGTTCCTGCATCCGTTGGTCCATGTAGGTAGTCCTTGAACCCTATTCCTTCCTTCAACATTCCGTACACTTCTAGACCC